AAAGGAGTACCAGTGTGAGGAAGAAAGTTCGCCCGCCCCAGCGTTGTTTATTAGTAAACACCAACTAAACAGTTACAAACTACTGGACAGGAAAATAAACCTCTCACGTGCACCTTTTTTTAAATTAAACGTCCACACGCGTCTTGAACTTTCGTGGATATTCACTGACTATCGCGCAATTGTAAAGAAACGCTGAAAAACAATTCCACAGGTCAAGTGATAAACTCCACCTTCCACTGGACGCGAGTCGAAGTCACGGGAAACCACATATTACTCATACGCCCCATCCACCGTACCAGTGTGGCAGTAGGCTTCAAAAAAAAGAAAAGAAGCTTGAGATTCACAGGTTTGTGTTTTCTGATATCTGAAACTGGTCTATAGCCCGTAGAAGACCCGGATATGCGCTCACTGATACTGAAATGAGTGGATTGTTTTGGCCAAAACGGTGCGTAAAGATACAAGAACTACTGGAGAACGGTCATCAAGCAAATAAACCTATTATCGCTACCGCGCTAGATTTAACTGACAGGGTTACTTATTGTCTGGTAGTTATATCTGACCGTAGCATGAATACCGCCAGATAAGCAAGCATACACACCGCTCCAAAACGTCCCTGATAAATAGTCAGCCTTATGCGGCCAGGAGAACTGAAAACCCTCGGATCGCTTCTGTTGTGCTCATCATAACAAAGTGATGATAACTCAAGAGCAGAAAAAGATACATTTCAGCTGGACTATACATTCTGATACAATCGTGATACAGTCAATTAAAGCGACTATCACCAACGGCAAACCACACAGTGCACAAATTCGGTGAAGGGTTAAGAACAAATAAGCGAGGTCACTTTACTGTACTTTGTATCCAGACGCTTCACCAGTCTCCCGTTGCTATGGTGCATGCTAGATACAAAACCCTGGGTCCTGTTTACTACACATCCACTTTCTAGCCAAGCATGTGGCCCTTAAACCAGTTGTAAAAATCACACAGCACACCATCAAAAGCTCCAGATATTCACTGGAGGTGGCCGTCTCGTGGAATCTGAGGTTTTTCTCATTTATTATGTGCATTGGCACCGGAGAGTTATCATGTCATCTGTGGACAACGTGAAGAACTGCACGCTTCTTCTCCTGATGAATTAACCCTGAGAATCTGCAAGGTCCGATATGCATTTTACTTTCTTAAAGTACAAACAACAGAAGTTGCAGTGGGATCGTGCCCACCTTTCCGATTCCGGCAGATAGTATGTAGTAAAATAAGCTCCCTACAGACTTTGGAAAGTCATCCGGAATTTCTTGAGAGTAGATTAGTGAAGTGTTGATGGGGATGGAGAAAGAAGCCGATGTCGCCATATGTTTCGTCCTAGCGTCAAGTGTGGACATTGAGCCATCTTATCTCTTCCTGGATTGCATGATTCCCAGATGGGACGGTGCTGCATTTGCCAGAAAATACGATCCAAAAACCATATAGTTGCGGATATCTGTGATCTGATTTCACTGTCGCCACAAGTTTCGTCTTAGCATCAAGTGTGGATGGTGAGCCGTCTTATCTCTTCTAGATTGCATGATTACCAGATGAGACGAGGCTGCACTTGCCAGAAACGACGATCCCAAAACCATATAGTTGCGGATATTTGTGATTCGATTTAGAACTCAAATACTTACCCGAATAGTTTAGTTTAGTCCGAAGACCTCCTTTAGCGACATGTGTCTTGTCCCTGCCGTTGGTAGTAGTTTCGCGATGTTCAGTTGTCCCTGCAGTTGGTAGTAGTTTCGCGATGTTCAGATAACTTCCTGGCCTTCAGCAGTATGCATCTCACAATTTGCGGAACCAATGTCTGAGAAAGGGGAGTCAATTTTTTCATAAAAAGAAGTGGATTTCTCTCAGCGTCCAAACATTCTTGTTAACTGCTCCCCTAAACTTTGCATTGGTTATTCCAATACAATCGATTTTGTCTGGTCCATCTTGATCGGGTTCGCAGCTGTTCAATATGCTTTGCTGTTTTGATCGCAATACTTAATAAAACAAAATTATCTTAGTGACTGAATCGTAGCGAACTTAGTTTACTCTAGAGGGTGTGCAAAGCAACGTCTTGCTTTTTTCACAGACAGCCTGAATATTAGTCGAACTTGTTGGTACCGCATGGCACCCAGGGTTGTCAAAATTAGGCATATCTGAAGCTGGCTCAATAAGATATCGTCAACACGTGACCACGTGATTTGAATTCCGTGACTGAAGGAGATGGATACCAACTGCGAACTAATCACACTGCTGACCAGCCACTCGTGGCTGAACGGTTAAGTTTTCAGAGTACTGGTGGGGTGTTGCCGGTTCGAATACCCTGAAGGTTAGTGGAGATGTTTCCAAATAAAGAAAATAAGGTTTTCGAACACTGAGTAACTGCAATTACAGGGCGAAATATTTACTAAGGAGTCACATCTCTGGACGTTCCTCGATAACCTACTAGCTGCCAAATTAAAAACGCTTAGCCATCGCAGTCCGGCCTTCGATCACAAGACATTCCAAGGATCAGCACAAGTAACACTCAGGGTTGTCTCACCGCCTGCCACCGGAGTCAGAATGCTCCACGATGCAAGCCATAGACTAATACTGCTTTCAACTGCCAAACAGAGAAATTCAATGCTGTTGTTTATGACGAAATCTCCCTCTCGATTAGATGTCTCCCCTGCAGAAGAATCAACTTTCTGTACCTATGTGCATAGACATCCCTTCGTATTGTGAACACATTCCATTCTGGCACTCCTATTCCATCTTGAACGATGCTGAGTGAACAAGAAAGTCTTGTCTCTTGAGAGCATCGTGCAGAGCATTGCAGCACACTGAGAATTCCGCATTTATTTCGCGTAGGTGTTCCACTTTTCAGTAAAAACCTTTAAGTTAACCAGGAGGCGCGTCCCTTTAAAAGAAGTTACTGTTTTGAAATAAGTAGCGTTTGGACACACTTGGATTGGATGCAGTGACACCCAGTTAGTCAAGCGGCTGATATCTTTTTTTTTTTGTTTCAAACTGGTTACATCGCCATGACTTACAACTTTGCATGCACTGGCAAACAATGTTCCGAAATTCCCTAATGATTGTCTTGTTTTTTTTCAGTTTGCATTGGCGGAATTGGAGCTGAATAACGTAAGTATCCAGTCATCACTAACCCTATGCTCATTTTGTGTGCGCTTAGATGAATGTATCAGCGGTCGTTTTCATTCAGGCCAGGATCCTTTTGTTTTGTAAACCAATTTGGTTTTGCGGGTCACTCATCCGGAACTCAGCTGAGTCTCTCGTTTGTGACTTTTCTGAGCAACCGAACGTGATGCGCCAGGCCGCCTCATGTTTCAGTTGGTACGATATTCGAGATATAACGATACGTATGTATAGATGTAATACACTACTAGTGAAAAGGAAGAAGGCCTTCGCTGTGGAGTTATTTATTCGGAAATGCCTACTGACCGGTTACAGACCATTCAACAGGGGAGCAAAACTCTAATCTGCATCCTAGTTACAAAAACTGGACACAGATCCTCTCGCGAACGACAATTCCTAGAGATTCATTGCCACCACTCATTCGTCGGTCAAATCCAAGTAAATGTTACAAAGTGGCCCCATGAATTCCGCAACAGAATTCCCTTTTTCAATCGACGCAAAGCGAAATTCTACGAACAACACATACTACTCGCGTGCCTCCCTAATCAGTAGTATCACCGTTACACTAGTAAGGTTGCTGAAAACTCGACCGGTTTTGTTCGTCTTGGGGCTCATCAAGTGGGCTCACTCACCAAGCTTTCGTCAACCTTGTGTTCTGAAGCACTTTTACTCCTATTCTCCCGGCCTTGTTCAACTAAGCTCACCCTCCATCCTGAGGATTCGCACGACTTGACTCGTATGGTTTAGTTGTGTTTCAGATTAAGACAGTGCACCTCACATTTTTGCGTTTTTTTGTTTCATCACTTTGGTTTGTGGCATCACTTTACAAGCTTAACTGGTAACTTTCAGAAGGATTTCCCAAGAGATACCCATCAACCCAGATTCCTTCGGACTACTTATCAGAATATTGTGTACTTTCCTCGAAAAACATGCAACTAAGTAGCACAGCCAAGCGACGATGTTCCGCTATTTGTGGCACGTACATGGAAAAGGAGGTTCACAACATCGAGCAAGTTGAGTCTAGAACTTGAGATTTGAAAGACACCGAAGTGTAAGTTGGTCCAATTAAAACGGCTCCATCCTTGGTGTAGATGGGTGAAAGCATACCGAGAAAACTTTGATGCCCATTACGTTCACAGTCCGCTCGACTGTTGCAAGCAGTTTCATAGCAAACATCGTGACTAGTTCGCGCCAACTTGTGGAACTTGTTCTCCCAAAAATAGGTTGACTGGCATAAGGAAATTTCTCTTAGAAATCACCATCATCACCATCAATGAAGAAATAGCTCAGAGGGAGAATACTTTCGCAACATGAGCGAAACTCCCTTCCGAGGATTCCTCACTCGAAAAGTCAATCAATACATGTGGTCACGTGATGTGGTTCCCGTGACTGAAAGATGACTGGCGCTACATCCCGCCTAAGTGTGAGCTAATCACATTCCATATCAGCTGCTCGTGGCTGAACAGTTAAGTGTCCATCTGCTGGATGAAAGATTGCGGGTTCTAAACTCTCCGAGTTACGTGAGATGCAGTGAAGCAGTTACCCTGACAGACTAAAAGTTTAAACCTATTGTTTATGAAACGGAAAAGATTGGATCACTGTTAAATTTGGTTGGACCAAACTAGGCCAGATGACCTGTCTGTGGTGTGGGCGCTTACAAAGAACTATCCGACCGACTTGTTTGCGCAAATGATGCACAATCACTGCAACCGTTTTTCTTTGGAGATTGTCGGTGCCTGGACTTTGCCTAGATGATATCTTTGCTCCTATCCTCCCGGAACTTTGTACGGGTCATGTTGGGCTACCCGAACAAGAGTAGGGTGGTTTGGTCAGTAAATTTTGAAGCTGATAACCTGTGAACTAACGCCACGGGACCGCAGTGTAAACAGCTTAAACAATAAGGCGAGGGCTTAGCACACTACCCATAAGGTTGCTGAAAATTCTTCGATAGCCCCAAAACCGGTTTCGCCCTTCTTGGGGCTCATCGGTTAGGCTCAGTCCCCAAGTTTCCGTCAACCTTATTTTCTACTTGAACCCAAATTGCACGAAATTGATGAACTACACTCACTTGCAAACAAATTTGGTTTTGGGGTAGACTCACTTGGAACCAAGCCGACTCGCTCATTTATGACGTTTTTAAACGAGCTATTCAGTCGGTTTCTAGTTGGATCTAACTAAACTTGTTTGAAAGTGATTGTATCTTGCCAAAGCAAAGACTCCTTTTAAACAATCGAGAACAAATGATAAGCGGAATTGGTCCGGAGGAAAACGAAAGAAAGGCTTTTTTAGAAGGGAATCATGGAACGAAATAGCCTGTGAGTTTGCTTTCGCCAACAGATGAACAGAGGAACAGACAGAACAATGGACCAAAGCTACCACAACTGTAAGGTGTCTACATGGACATTCAAGAAAGAAATACACCGACTCGGCGCAGTCAGAGACGAGTCAGTCGAACCCTGGGAAGCCAGAATCCAAATTACCCAGTCACGTAGCAAGCAGTCGACAATTATCTATGTTATGCCATTTAGGCCGGCACAGAAAGTGAAGATCCACACACCGATGACAATGTCGTAAGTGGAAGAAAGATTTCGTAAAATCAAGACAGACTGAATAGCCTACAAACAGTTTTCAAGCATTCGGCACTTTCACATTCAGAGAGAAATCAAACCAGCTGAGTGGAAAAATAACTGCGCATTTCAATGTCCGGGAAAAACGACATATTCCTGAAAATCGAAGGCTTCTCTCACAGCGAATGTATGTAACGCCGTCTCGTAGTAGTCCGAACATCACATGACATTTTTGAATAATTAGTAAGCTTAGATTATTGATTACCTGAATGAAAAGGCGTGCATACGATTTGGTGGTGCGCAAAGAACAATCAATAATACCAAGCCTGGACAAGACGCATATAAGTTATGCATAAGTGACGAGGGTTATGATGAAACTTCTAGGTCCTATTAGTTGGACATTTCAAGTCAAGTCTCGGCTGATATTTCGAAGAGACTGAGATCCACCATAAAACTTTCAGTGAACACGCAGTCGACAATTATCTATGTTATGCCATTTAGGCCGGCACAGAAAGTGAAGATCCACACACCGATGACAATGTCGTAAGTGGAAGAAAGATTTCGTAAAATCAAGACAGACTGAATAGCCTACAAACAGTTTTCAAGCATTCGGCACTTTCACATTCAGAGAGAAATCAAACCAGCTGAGTGGAAAAATAACTGCGCATTTCAATGTCCGGGAAAAACGACATATTCCTGAAAATCGAAGGCTTCTCTCAGCCCCAGCGAATGTAACGCCGTCTCGTAGTAGTCCGAACATCACATGACATTTTTGAATAATTAGTAAGCTTAGATTATTGATTACCTGAATGAAAAGGCGTGCATACGATTTGGTGGTGCGCAAAGAACAATCAATAATACCAAGCCTGGACAAGACGCATATAAGTTATGCATAAGTGACGAGGGTTATGATGAAACTTCTAGGTCCTATTAGTTGGACATTTCAAGTCAAGTCTCGGCTGATATTTCGAAGAGACTGAGATCCACCATAAAACTTTCAGTGAACACGTTCATTAAAAAAAGGGACATTAAATTAGCCTTGAGAGGTAATGAAGAAAGTGGAAAATGAACCTGTTGTAACTATAGTGTCCTAGTGGTCCCGTCAGTTTAAGTGTATCGAGGGTTGAAGTTAGCGGTGTTGAATTAAGGTGAAAGTAGTATCAGATCCAGAAAAGTTCGGCCACACAACCTCTCTCGTCCTTGTTGAGGCAGGGCTAGAGTGGACACGTGACCAGCCAGTTTGCAGCCTCAGACGGTCAAATCTGGATCAAATATCCTCTGTTCAGAAAGTGCATCTGGTGGATTTAAATCTGGGTGTTAGCCCTGACGACGGAAGTGCTTTCCGGGCTTCGGCTACTTCAATGTCTAGAGGGAACTAATGGAGATCTTTAGAAATTTTCCCATTATCAAGGTAACCAAAACTAATTGCAGCCTGTCAAAACACACGTGTGTCATATCGTTTCGCGAGGATATACTTGCCTGTAATTAATCCAGGCGAAGTACCCATCAATTGTTTTTGAAAAGGTGATTGAACTAGCACAGGCAACATTTAGGGTCGTTATTGAAGACACTTCCGTTATTGTCAAATTGGAGCGGCTGGAAGGGTGAATATCCCACACTAGAGACTGAGCTGGGTTCCAGGTGTCTCTCGCAAAACCAAACTTGTTTGTAAATAAGTGTATTTCGCTAATTTTGTTTGATCTGGTTTCAAGTAGAACATAAGGTTGACGGAAACTCCGGGAGTGAGCCTACTTGATGTGTCCCAAGAAGGGCAAAACCGGTTGCGGGCTGTCGAAGAATTTTCAGTAACCTTATAAGTAGTGCCTTATGAACTAAGTGAAATTTCTGGCCCTCAAAATCAATCGCTCTGCCGTGTTTGTTCGTCCTGACAATGTCCGAAAAGCACAGACCTCTTGGCAAAAGCCTCCAAGTGATCTAACGGTCACTAGCCCTCACCACCTTGTACATGCGTTAAGGCGTCCAATTAACCAGAGCAAAACTTGAGACTTTCTCGGTAGAAATCAGCGAATTGTCGAATGGTTTCCATAGTGACCAATCAACCGAATCTGTAATCATTGTACTCACTGTAAGCCATTCCAATCGCCGCAGCCATTGGTCGTGTACAATGACGTAGGCCGATTCGAAAGGAGTGTCTCACATATGACACTTCCAAGTGAACAGCTGAAGGAAGTGGAATCAGTTTATCAAAGATGGGTTTCTGATCTGAATGAACAAAAAGTAAATAAGCTTCCATGAGATAGCTACCTCATGCACTCGTGAACCAAGTTCATCGTTAGAAACCACCTAGCCGAAGTTGGATTCGTTGCAATGGCGTAGATGTCAGACAAGTGCTATCCTTCGCATCTGCTATCGACTTGATTTCCGCGCAACAACTCTGCAAAGCTGATGACAGGCCTATTTCAATGCCCTGGAATGGCCAGACAGAGAGTTGTGGTTCACTGACAGGAATAGCTCCGTAGTGGTTGGATACCTTTCAAACTGAATCAGCGTTTGTGTCCACTGACACGCATCTTCAGTGGTTCGCTTAAGTTGCATCGCAGTCCTCGCAGTCAATCTCATAGGTATTTGGTTGAACCCGGTATCTTCCCATGATACTTCCCCCTATGTCCCCATCCCGGATATCAAGCTCGGCTGAGGCCGTACGGAATTCTTCGAGGGCCATTTAACGGTACAGTATCTGAACTTGTGTGCTGTGTGCCTTGCTGCACCAGGGTGAATGACTTCCTGAAGTGAATAGACCAAAACAATTCTTTAATACTTTTAGTGTGTTTCTTGTCGGAGTGCAATCAGAGTAGACGTGAGCGAATACACACTCATTTGCAAACTAATTTGGTTTTTCTGGGCTCTCGTGAAATCCAAATTGATTTGCAAATGAATGTATTTCTCGAAAACAGTTCAATTCGGGTTTAAGTATAACATAGGGTTAGAGGAAACTCGGGGACTGCGCCCAGCTGATGAGCCCCAAGAAGGGCGAAACCTGTCGTGGGCTGTCGAGGAGTTTTCAGCAACGTTATCAGTAGTGCATTACAGAGTAGACGTTGTTTTTCTGCTCACCATGGCTCTCCGTGTGCTCACCGTAAAGACGGTTAGGATGGGTTTGCAATGCACAGACAGACTAATTCTGTATTCCTATGTAAGTTAAGCTGGTTGTGCGCTGCTCCTGATCAGTTTCCGCCTCAGATAATGCATCCTTACAAGCATGGTTACGAAAAAACTAACATAACCTCACATAACTCGCACCAATGATCACACAACTCCGAAAAACGCGAGGTGCAAGTTCGAACTGCGTTTCAAGAACGGATGTCTGCCTATAGTCGTGCGGTTGGCAAGCTGCCTGTTTGTACAAAAGATGCTTAAAGGTAAAGTAACCCAAGCGTGCCACTGATTAACCATTAAATTGTTGAAAAGATCTGGACTTCTCCGTCGTTGTACTAGTTTGGTGAAGTAATCTGACATCAGAATTTAAAGATGCCTCTTCCTCAGGTAATGAATTTTTACACCGGGTTTGGTTGTGGGAATCAGCAAGTTAGTACGCTGAATTAGCATTCAGTAGTCTAGCTGTGCACCTCACGCCGTTTTGAACAGGACGTAACGTATCCAATCCACCTCAGCTAAGGATAAAAGCTATGAGTATCAAGGTGTCAATCAACTGTAGAACCAACGTTTCGCTTTCGGTACAAAGGCTTCGTCAGTCCACGTGACTAGGTTAGCAGATTGGTCGAGATTGAAGGCGGAAAGGGAATCAATCAGCTAAATCTGTGTTAGGTGTCGGCCAAGGGATTTTGTGTATTAGGGTGGGTCACCAAGTGTTTAGCCGATGGTGAAACCTACATTGATTTGGGTCCAGCTTAGGGTCTAGTTCTTCCGGTTCGGTTCACGTGATGATCCCTCTTGAACATCCGTCTATGTGGATGAGCCAGACCTACGATAGTTGTATAAGGAATAGAGATTCTCTTTTAGCTGACGATTCTACGTACATTGACAACCACACGCAGTCACGTGTCAACTCGGCTTATCTAAGACCGCTTTCCATACGCTTGCTAGCTTCACACCCTCGATTCTATTCACGCTGTGATGCTTAGTAATTTCCACCGCCTCGGCTATCAGCCGCTGTGGTGTGAATCGCCGTCCACATTCTACATTCTCCGGATCTAGTCTTTGTCCCGTGTCTAAGACATGTATCGCCATCGCTGAGTCTTTGACCCGCGTTTGGTATTCTTCTGGTATTCTGGTATTCTTCTTTCTTTCTACCACCTGCAACCCAGATATCCACTGACATGGATTCAGAGTTTGAACGACTGGAAACACTACTAGATAGACTCGAAGAGTTGGACGATCGAAACCGGGGAATTTCTCTTTTGACGAAATAATGAGACTCTCTCGTTCCGGAGAATTATCTACCATATTTGTTTCTCAGTTTCCCTAAAATCGCACTCCATCAATATGTTGTACTCAGTCATCCCATTTCTCTGCCTTACTTCTACCTTTGGTGAAAGTTGACGAAAAACATTAATTATTTTTTCACGCATTTTTGAATACACGGTGATGTCTTCCACTTGGCAACTTTTCTGCAATCCACTATCTGAGTCTTTGGAAGAGAGTGCATAATTCTACAAGGAGAATACCCAGAATCTGATACTTGACATCGTAAAAATTCCCACGGTCGGCTTTTAGGCGATGTTAAAGATAGTCGGTTGTCAAAACCGAGAATGGTCATCTTCTGGTGAGCACACATCTAGCTCCTATTCAAATCTCATTCTGCACCAAATGCGTTGACAGCCATCGACCGCTTACCCACTAAAAGATTTGTCACGGGTCTCACGTGACGCTCAGGCGCATTTGACCAATGCACAGAGTCAAATCTTTGGAAATTTCGCAAGAAAATATCACCTACAACAACCATACGCGCTTCCTTTCATTTGTGTTACGTGTATTTGACATCAACTTCAATGCACTTAAAAACAGTCGTCTACTTTGTGTAGGTCCGAATAGGCAGATGATCGATCACTTGACCGATCGATAGATAATTGGATAGATAGGCGGACCGGTGGGTCCGGAATCGGTTCTCTCCAAATTGCAGCAGCTGATGAGCTGTCTGTAATTTTGACGTGATCTTTGTTTTGTGTCACATGATTTTAATTGATAGCTGACACCTACTCCACAAGTACTTATCCTTACACAAAGATAAACCAGGTTTTGTTAGTTTCAGTCGATACCTAATATCACATAGTCGAGTGAAAATGCACCTTGAATGGTGTGCTTGATTACAGTTTACTTGGAGCTTCCAAGACTTGGAATATATGACTCATGATGGAGTGTGGTTGCGGCATCTCAGGCTTGAGGCAGCATAGTTGAGCCAAGCCGAGCAACACAGCTATGTCAATATGTATGCAACAATCCCGGTATTCAGAACTTTTAGTGACCACATGGTCAGTACCCTGAACAAGTTACCATCGTAACTGGTAGTCTAGCAGTATAGGAGACCTTCAACGCTCAAGTGGACAATGAAGAGTGCTCACCAGCTAAGCAACAAACAAATCAATATCCGACCTCATGAGATTTGGGGGTAACGATCCGCTCGTCTAATCAGGTATTCTGTACGCGACGTGTATTTGTTGTGCACTGGTGTGCACACAAATAGTCACTTACAGGATATACCGTATATTTTTCGGAATTCTGTTGCACGAAAGCGAAGGACAACGTCGCCATCAACTGTTTCAGCCATCATAAAAGAAGAGAAATAATCTCAACTGAAAAAAGGATCATAAATTACGAGTCATGTGATGGATAAATGAGAAATTCCAAGAACCCGAAATTAGAAATCAAAGTTCGACGCTAGTAACAGAAGAGGTTCTATGAACAGACATCTTTGGTCTGCTAAGTCAGACTCGGCACCCGGAACCTAGCTAAGGCGCACCAGGGTAGTTTTTGTTTTAATACTGGCCTGTATCACTTTTTTAATCAACCGGACATCACCGTCAGTCATCCGCTAAGGTACGTAAATAGATGGCTGTATTATGAATTCCCTCTAGTATTGCTTTTGTCCCCTTGTTTCCAAAAGTCATTTAATCTCCCTGAAGACTTTGACACAGGTCTTTTCATGCAACTTTTCTGTGTGGAGCACAAGCATAGTCTCTTCGGGAATTTAGTTCATCCCACATCCATGAACTTCGAGTGTGATTTACGAGTGGTGCTGCTAAAATAACTCGCCCAGCTGCGAGACCAACAGTGTTTCCACGGTTCTGGAAAGCAAAGTGAGCAGTTGTTGCCCTGAAGATCCTATCCACATAAGTTACGTCCAATAATAAGAATTACAAAACCAACTAAGCAGATATTTACAATTCTTTCTCCGGTTGTTTTTCTTTGTTTCTCTGCAAGGGGACACAGTTGGAAGTTGCCGAGTCACGGCATGCCGTTGACGCCTTTCCAACATCGTTCTGTCTAGTCAAGCAGTGACGTCTAGAGAGTAACGCTTTCTTCCTGCCTAATCAAAGACTGGTTTCAAAGATTTTCTGCACGCTGAAGCATTCCTGAATTGCAAACGGAGTGTTAAAAAAATCGGTTTTCCCAACCTCGTTTCCCGAACACATTCTTCCTGCCTAATCAAAGACTGATTTCAAAGATTTCCTGCACGCTGAAGCTTTCCTGCAAACGGAGTGTTAAAAAAATCGGTGTTCCCAACCTCGTTTCCCAAGCCACCACGGCTGATTGCAGTTAGACCAGGCAGGCTGTTTGGGAATATCACACAGAAATTATCTGTGGTCTAAACTTTCGGACCGAAAATTCCTTCCTCCCCCGATGTTAGATCGTCTTAACTGGTGCCATTCAAATGTAAAATCTCAAACAACATTTTGAGTTCTATGTAGTTTTAAGACCATTTTTGCGTTCACAAAAGTTGAGTAGCACCAACCCTTGCGGGCATTTTGCTACGGGCAATTGCATCTAGCCTATAGTTAATTACTTTAGCGTTGTCAACAAACAACATTTTGAGTTCTATGTAGTTTTGAGACAATTTTTGCGTTCACAAAAGTTGAGAAGCACCAACCCTTGCGGGCATTTTGCTAAGGGCAATTGCATCTAGCCTATAGTTATTTACCTTAGCGTTGTCATACCAAAACATAAAACTGTTGTCTTTCAGTCCAGGGACGCTTTTGGAAGCCCTTCGAATCCTGGTAGGTGGTCTCCCCCAAGGTAACCTCTGCCACATGGGCACATGTAAGTGATACTCATGACAATGGCACCGCAACACAGTACGAGCTAGGCCTTGATGGCCGCCATCCTCCCAGTCCGTTTGGACGAAAATCTTGGGGTGTTCTTTGAGGTCTATGTCTTCATCACAGATGGCGCCGAAAAGTACCACCACTACTAAGGAAGTCAGAAAATTTGAACAATAATTTATGTCTGTACCTTTTGAGGTCCTCAAAGAACGGGTTTTCTGTCTCATTTCAACACGTCATTTTTGGCCTCTTTCTGTATAATAACGGATATAATTTTTTTAAATGCTTGGACATAAAAGACTCCTTCAGACTTTTAATGACGCATGTGTCATTCACGTGTCACAAGAAACAGAGGTCCCGTTAACGCATCCGCTTGACACCTTCCCACTTGGTGAGGACCTCCCCCAGACGATGGAATTCTCTGCGAGAGTATGACCTCATTGTTATGTGGTTCCATAAAAAACCAATGCTCTGAGATATGGTCTTCTTATCTTCGTTTATTACCACCTAGTTAAACCATCTCCGCAATGCTAACATATGCGGTTTGCGATCACGCGTCTTGCGGCGTTAACCCTATTCTGATTGGCTGAAACCTATATGGCGGGAACATTCAAAAATGGTAACATCGTGAATTTGCGGTTTATGATTGACCCTCTTGAACGAAGCGTAGAATTAAAATGCGGTTGTATCTGTTAAAAATTTACATCGCTGACAGATTTCCAAATGCAACGAAGTCAGATAACGTGCGATTCCAGGTAGGTTAACATAACTTGCTTGTGACGGGTGTGATTGTCCATGTTGTCTCCAAAGCTACCAGTATTTTTAAAGGACGATGTTATTTGTGATTACTGACGGTAACAAAAAGTAAACAATCAAAATAGCGAGTGTCACTACTGCCACAACTTTTCAATTTTTCATTTTTGTGACTTATGAGGAGTTCATGAAAGGCTCCGTAGGGTTCTAATAACAAATGTAACGGTACTTTGGCTTATGTGCACTGCAACAGCGTTTTTAAGTGTTTGATCCATGGTTCAACTGAAGTTGCTCTCAGTCTTTGCCTAAGGTGTCACACTTTTTTAAATATAATCCACGGCGGCTCACACGGTTTCTACATGCAGGTATTGTGAATGTTATTGACACTAAATGAGCACCTTGAAGGCCATGTATCATGCGAGTTTTGTTCAGTAGCTACAGGAGCCGGTATTTTCTCTGACCTCCCTAACTCTGGTTTATAATAAAGGAACTATCGGTGCATCCTTCGCAGTTAACGGATCAACGTTAGTGCCTGCGGTTATGCCAGGGCTAGTAACAGATTTTCTATTTCTGGTGGTCTCCCCTTAAACGCTAAGTGTTGTGTGGACATAAAGAAAGGTCCCCATCACTGGAAAACTCTGAAGAATTAGAGGAATTGTTGAAGTATGTAGTGATCACCACCTACTACTCTCGTTTACTTATGTAACCACTGTTGGTGAGGAACTTTGCCAACTTAGTTTACACTGGGAAGCGTTCTTTGTAGTTATCGTCCACATAGATTGGTGTGAACCGCTACCTTCAGAGGATCACCGCTGCCTCATACCTCCAAGACATGCTTTTTACGTGTTTGATGAGGAGGGCCGGCACTTATTCTGCTTACCATTTAAGTGACAGCTGACGGGTCGCCGTCTACGGCGTACCTGTATCCTAAATTCCTAGATTTAAGCTTTGTAACACTGAAAAGAACAAAAAATACAGTGGCGTCAGGCATTGCTGAGTTATTCTTATCTACCACAACCATTCGAACAACATTCACCGGGGACGTCATTCGCATAAAATGTTCCACGGCAACATCATAACATTTCTGTGACTCGTCTTGGATAAAGGAGTGAAACACACCCCGACCAATACCATGGCTACCACATGCCAGAGGTGGTAACCACCTCCGTTACATTGATGCGTCGAATCTACCTGAGTCACATCACCGTTATTTGCAAACAAAGCATATGGACGAATGGGAGTAGACGACAAAATATTCAAACATTATACCACCGGCCGTACCGTCCTTGACACCGTACTGGTCGCGGTTGCGATGTCCTGGGCACCCGGACCGCAAGCGGAACAAGTTCCGCACTTTCTTTTGTACCATCCAGATCAAAGGCAACTATTGTCCTGATACACCAGCAGCCCGGTCCAGACCGCAAAACGCTGACTCTGTACGAGGTTTAGGCGTTCAAGGTATGCCTAGCTTTTATTGGATCTGGGCACGCGAAGCGTATTCGTCAGTAATGCCGTCGGTCAACTCACGTATGTGACATCAGAAAGTCTTCTATACAGAACCTTTGCGATGCCATGTGGAAAGTCTACCGGACTAGCGCGGAGAAAGTGGGCGATCATACTCACGCATTTACGCTCCATACAGAGGTCATCGTGCTACTGAAGTCAAATTCATCGCGTCCACATAACCCATCTCAGTGGATTACTGTATCCTGTATCATCATCATCACCATTATCATCGACAGCAAGACATCAATGTTCAATCTGGATGTTTCACTGCCGTGCAATCATGATTTGAAAGCCATTTTTTAGGGAAATGGTAAAAGCGGATGGGAAAGGGACTTGGGGCTTGCCCACCACAGTCATTCTGAGCTGTCAACATCTTCAGACACTTATTCAGGCAACCGAGATAGGAACTGTCAACCGTCGCCAACCAGGCTCAGTAGGGATCACACGATCCCCATCCTCTAAAGTGAGTAGCACCGACGGCATCACTATAATCTCTTCCATGCTTTTTTGCTAGGATAAGGTTTGGTCACCCCTGCTTGTACCTCTCCAAATTGGGAACAGAACAAACCACTCTCTTAGGCAAACGAGGGTTTGGCTTGCGCAGTACAGGGCATAAGTAACCCAGCTTCTAGTTCTGGACATATTTTTCAATGAGAATTTCCGTTGCGCCACCAAAAACTCGCTTTCGTTAGGAATTCGTAGGCACCAACCGGGACTAGTTGTGGTTCTGAGACAGCGGTTGTTGAACACGTTAAGAGGTTTCATTTTCGCTGCTCAAACAGACCAAGTCTCACAGCAATACAACAGCCCATACTGTAGCCTGATAAACACGTCCCTTGAGATTCAGGGACAAACCCCTTTGACGACATTGGTGTCTCAAGTTAGCAGACGCGCCCCGGGCCTTGCAGCTTTGTCACTGAAGCATTGGGTGGCGACATGGTGCGGCACATTTAATAAACGGACCAAACGAGGAATTGAGCTTGATACGGCTGAGCTAAGTGCCCTGTCAAACGGAGTTTCTGTGCAAATGATAGAGAGTACTTGCCAAAATCTGTCGGCTCGATTTTGGTGCACGAAGAACATAAGGCTGATGGACATGAAACTGGAAACTGCGCCTATCTGATCAACTATACCCAAGAAGAGCGCAACGGGTAGTGGGTGGTTCGACTGTCCGCAGTGACCTTATGAGGTTTCCATTTCTGTCGGAACTAACCATTGAACTCAGCCGCTGAGTTTCACAAGAAGTGGGTCGTTACTGGTGAGAAAAAACTTGTCCATGTGCTGTGTGGTCATAGCTTCGTTTTTAAAGCAAGATCATTGGTTACCCCAGTATAAAATTGAAGTTGGGTGCTTGCGATCAGAGTACCCCATAGCTGCTGCACAACCAGCACGCTTATTTACACACGGGATTTGCAATACATAGACTCCATGGTGTTAAATGCAACATTTCAGACGACTTAAGTGAATACGTCATGTCCGATAGGTAGTTGAATAGGGCGTCATTACAGTCGGTAAGCAACAATAACATAGAGCTGAAGTCACCTGGTCAATTGACCATGGGTGGAGAAACACAATATCGATAAAAAATTCCCACTACCCACAGCTTCGATCGCTATGGCAGTCACACGCAGTGCCAAAATATATGAGCTCTTAGATGTGTTTTTCTACGGATAATCCACTCACACGTAACACATGGTCTCGTCGAGTTCACCCCTAACTCATACGGATCACTATAAAATTCTATTTAGACGACGTATTGTGAACCGTAGGTATATCGCGTCAAGTTTGCAATAACGCGAGGACATATCCCAGTTGATTGGCCCCGAATTGCCGCCGCGTGAGTGGTAGACAACGTCGATTTTGAGCACTCACGAACCATTCAACGTCAGAGGGATAACACGGTTCTCCATCAGACAATACCAAGTATAATCATTAAAGTACATTTTTGTTGGAATACAAAAGGCGGAATCGTTAGCGAGGCATAGTAACTAGCAACCAGGTAACCAGCCACACTCAGTGTCACGATAGCTCTCAGTAATTGCCCTTAAAGCAGATTTCCTTGCCGGTTTTAACGGGAGCCTGGTAAACTAACTGTCCTCAAAACATTGACACTCATTGGTGATTGACAATTGTTCTTTACAAAGCATGCGATTGCAGAATTTTCCTAGCGCACCTTGGAAAAGATCCCCATTTGCGAAGAATTGTCATAAGTACTCATGACGGACAAGGAGTTATGCTTCACGGGAAATCTCCTGANTGATGACTGGTTCAGCAGCATTGGATACAGACAGCTTTGAACTGTTCCCAGATATGTTGGCCTCAAATACAAAGCTGAAATCTGTGTAAAAACTTTAACAATGCTACCTCCTCTTATCAGGTCCTCATCTCCAAACGGCTTTAAAGATATATTCATCATTTTCGTTCGAAATATGTGAGTGTTATTCACAATGCAGCAGCTGGGAGCCCTGCAAAATCATCCATAGAAAGCCGTTTGCAATCCGAAGTAAGGTATCTAAATCGGCAAAACTGAACCGCTACCGAGGTAATGGCACGAGAGCATCAACT